CCTCACGGCATATGGAAGCACTGACAAATAGCAATTATGGCCACAAGGAAGAGCACGAATCTATGACATAAATGCTGAGTGACTCATTGTTATGACCAAATGACTTCTTTTCTTGCTAATTTCCTCCATTCCCCAGCAACACATGGTTGCTAAGTGTGAGGAGTTAGGGTACCATTTTGAGATGCTTCTCATATAAAACCTTTATCATCCTGTGCAACATCTGCCTATTAAGTATCTTGGTAAGCTACCGGGATCTGCTGACCTGAGGATAATTATATTTATTATCTGAATGTCTCATAACATTCTGAGTGTAATGAGATTATAACTGAAGCCAGATTCTTAAACTGAAGTAATTAACTCGGACTTGTAGACAGATACATTATAAAATTTTAGTTTCATTACCACCTAAAAGGAAAATGAAGGCAGATGCTTCCTATTGGCAATAGAAGTCTCCACAAAAGCCCACCCATGTTTCCTTCCAGAAGCAAATATTATGAGATTGGTTTAAGTGTGAGAAATAAGGACAAAAGGATACATGACATTTTCTGTATGGAGAAAAAGTGATTGCAGGGTCTTCTGAAGACTTCATTCTGGAGAGACTCCAATTTGATTTTTTTTTTTAAGATGTGAAAAAAGGGAGCATACCATGAATTCTCAGAGTTTACTGATGACGTTAATAACTTTTCCTTGATAATGAGCAACCTAAGTTGGTAAAGATTAATTGAAGAAAGAATTTGTAAAACTAACAACATGCAGCAAATTGGCAAAGTTCTTTTCTTATCATCAAAGGTAAGTGACCACACAAAGGATCATTTACCCAAAAATCTGACAAGCAGTTTAGCATGAGATTAATAGCATGAGGTCCACACTGCCATGGAATTCCACCTCTGTCATTAGTTACTGGTATGACTTTGAGCAAAGGACTTAACCTTTTGTGCACTAGTTTCCAACTCTGAAAGTCATTCCCTTTCTAATGCCATGTTTACAGCTGTGAGGTGCCTTCCAAACAAGAAGTAATACAAACAGTTCTTCTCTGTGTGCAAAATTGTTCACAGATAAGCTTACCCTTTCTCTTCCACTTAGCTAGCAAGCAGCCAGCTCTCAAATTCTCTAAGCTGCAAACTCCCTGCTCTTCACTGGAGGAAGCTGGAGAGACTGGAATGTAAATTTCAAAGTTGAAATGTGGGTGTTGAGCTTGGAGAGCTCTAAGGGTGAAGATTTTGAAGAGACTCCCCAGCCACCAGAGGTTTCTGCATTTGAATGATAATATGTTGGCAGCCAGTCCCCCTGCCTTCTCGTGCTTCCGTTCTCTAGAGAATTGAATTTTTTTAAGATCCTACTTTGAGGAGAAGTAGTGAGGATGAGGGGTGACCCAGGTCAGTGCAGCCATTTTCCAAGTTTGCATATGAAGGAACCACATGGTTAGATGTAGTTTTTTGAGACCTGGACTCCTTTTCTCATAATCAAAGGCACTGTGATGCAGTCACAGGGTCCCCTGAGTTGGCTCTTTTAGCCTCTGGTTCCTTCTGTGCCTGACCTTCTTCCTCAAGAGAGTAAATTGCTCTAGCCTGGCAGCCCAGGTTCATTCATCTCAGGAGCCGTATGACAGGTTTCGGTGAATACTTATTGAATATGTGAGGCAGAAATGAATGTTTTTCCTCTGCCTCCATGTTCTCTTTTTGAATCACACCATTGGTAAAATGCGTTTTGTCATTTTAAAAAATTGCAGTGTAATCAAAAGTGGGTATGTTTGCAAGGAAAACCAAAAAACGGGGGGCGGGGAGTCTCTTATACTTTCATACCTATTGTTATATGATTGCATAAGTGTTTTGTGAGCTGCTCCTGAAATTTCATTACTATTTCATTATTATTTCTCCAGAAAAATGCATTCTAAGTTCCAAAAGTGATTGATCGACAATGGTTTTAAAATATGAGGTATTTATAAGTTCGGAAACCTTCTTAATTTATAGCATCTTTGATTTGTTTTAGAAACTGGACTTTGTTGAGTTTTAAATATGTATTTGTGAAGTGTTTCATGTGTGGTTCAAACAATTTGGGACATTTAATTCAGAGATTTGCTCACCCCCCTGTGTTGTTTACATGATGGGGGGTGGGGTGGGGTTGATACATACATAGTAAGGAGAACATTTTCTTAGACAGTTGGGTAAAACCAATGTGGATATATACTCTCACTAGTGAACTATCCACATTTTATTTTGTGAGGTCAGGGGCATTTGAAGAGATTTCTAAAAGGAGAGACTGAAAGAATGTTGTGGACAGAGTAAAGAAGGTTAGTGCAGGAAAAAGTATATTGCTTTTTTTTTTTGCACGTCCCATATCGAATCAGTTGACAAGAGCAGTTGATTCTCCTTATCATTATTCTCACCTCCTTCCTGATTCTATGCTGCAAGTATATTTGTTTCCAAATTCATTACCCTGGCAACCTTGGTCAAATCTGTCTTCTCTGTCACTCTTTAATCTTCCCCCAAGTTCCACATCCTTTTCAAGTAAGTCACTTCCTCCTTGAACATCTTCCATCACTCAAATTCTCTACTGATAGTGGGCCTCCCTGGTGGCACAGCAGGTTGAGTGCCACACTGTGAAGCTGTCCGCAGTCTCTGCAGTGAGGGTTCGATCCCAGCCGGCTGGCGAGAATCCCACATGGCGAAGCAGACCTCTCCTGTCTCACCTGCTGCTCCCCTCAGCAGTGTATTTCAGTCGGTCTGCCTGTTCTGTTCCCTGCTGTGTCTCTGGTGAATCTTCTCACCCTCCAGCACCTCTGGCCTATACTTCCATTCTGGTATAAATAAATAAATCTTTAAAAAAAATTCCCTACTGATAGAATTAGAAAACTTTGCCTTTCATTCATGGGCATCTGAAGTCTGGCCTCCTGTTTCCTTTTCAATCTTACTTTCTGCTAATAAAAGCAGAAACCTTCCATGCCTGTCAGACCAAACTACTAATGGAACCTGCTTCCGCTATGTTCATACAAAACCTCATGCTGACGTCATGCTTCCTCAGGCCTTCCTGTTCTGCCCTCTCCTACTCTGCACCTTTTCTTTCACCTCATGAGATCTCCAGCCCAGTTGGCCAGTCTTTTCTACCACTTTGTTGCATTTTCACATAAAATTCCATCCCCAGGGACCATGGAAAGTACACAGACAACCTATGGGAGTCTCTGACCTCAGCTGGACCTTCAGTATTGCCTGAAAAATGAGCTAACTCTTGCCTATTTCCTATTTTCTCTTTCAAGCATCATTCATCCTCCTTTGTATCTTCAGCCTCAACATCGCCTGTATCACTCTCTCAGCAAGAAATTCAATGACTGATGTACAGAGTAGATAAAAGTCAAAGAGTAAGTACTCATTCAGCTTCTCACCTGCAAATCTGTGAACATTCTTCTTCCTCACTGTTTTCGTGGGGAAGGTAACCTCTAGTGAAATGTTAGTTCCCCTTTCCTCTCCTTCTTTCTCTTGAGCCTTTCTTTTTAAAGATTCATTTATTTACTTATTTATACAAGAACCAGGGTACAGGCCAGATGCACAGGAGCGTGAGAGGATTCACCAGAGACAGAGTGGGTAACAGAACAGGCAGACTGATGAAATACACTGCTGAGGGGAGCAGCGGGAGAGACAGGAGAGGTCTGCTGAGCCAAGTGGGACCCTCGCCGGCCGGCTGGGATTGAACCAGTGCTGCGGAGGCTGAGAACAGCTTCACAGCGCTGTGCTCAACTGCCTGCACCACCAGGGGAGGCCCTTGAGCCTTGATCTATTTATCATTCCACTGATGAGTTCCCCCTTCAACATTTATTGCTTGATCACTTGCTCACCAGCTCTTTTAAACAGTTCCTTCTGAGTACTGACTTGTCTCCATCTTCCATTTTAGAAATTGTGTTCATGAAATATTGTCTCTATTTCTCCATTCTCAAATCTTCCTTTCATTGCTTCAACCATGACAGTGTGTCTTGCAACCTGCGTACTTCACCAAAACTCTTCTCTGTTACCAGTGTGTGCCTAGACACTAAACTCGTGGATATTCATCAGAATTCATTAATTTCTCAAATGTATTGGTCGCTGCTGGCCATTCCTACCCTCTTGACCCAAATCTGTCTATGGCCTTTGTGACCCAAAACCCAGATTTCACTTGTCTTTTCTCATTTTCCCTTGTGGATTTCTCTTCTCCCTCTCCCTTAAGAGTTGGTATTAGATTAGGGCTCTGTATTCAGTCCACTTCCCTTTTGTCTTTCAAGCATCCTTTATCCTCCTTTGTGCCTCCAACCTCAACATCACCTGCATTACTCTCTCAGCAAGTAATTTACAGAATAGATAAAAGCCAAAAAATAAGTACTCTTCCCATAGTATTGTGCAGTTGAAATGACCATTTCTGTGTCACCCATCCACAAACATCTATTTCCAGTCCAGTTTTCTCTGCTGAGAAGCAGCTTGAATCCTGTCATTGTCACACAAATATTTTAGCATTCACATCAAAGTGTATTCCTTCTCCTGTGACCCCTGAATTAGGGAAAAAGTCTTAACTACCCATTTGCCCCAAGCCCTAAATCTGCAAGTCAGCCTAACATCTGCACCCACACACAACTGCTACTGTCACTGCTTTGCAGGAGATTCTCATGGATCAAATCATCCATCAAAGCTCTTGAGTTTGGCTCATATTCTTGCCATGATCTGACCCCTCAAACCTTTCCAGATACATCCTGAAGCATCCTGTATACTCACCTCAGCTTTATCCCCAGAAGACCATTCATCTCTATCTCTAGTCCTGCTAACATTTTCTCTTTTCCCAGAAAATATGTATCCATATACCCTAATCCTCTGCTTCCCATTTCCATCTATGTACCATATTATAAAAAATATATAGTTTCTTTTTATCAGTGCTGTTACTTCTCTTTGCAGATTCACTGTTTTTGGGAAGGAGTTATATCAGAATCAGTTTGTTGAATATAATTTCTATTCATGACTCCAACATATGTAATTGAATGAATACAATTTTTATTCATGACTCCCAATCTAACAAGTCTCAATTTTTTTATTGAAGATGGAAACCTAAAATTGTGCTAGATGAAATTTTTCAGGTAGCTTCCAGAAAATTCAATCATTTATTTTAAGGAAATACCTTGGACACTAATTAGTTTGTCTTCTTACATGTCTTGGCGGCACAGATTCAGATAGAAGAAAATGACTTTTCTTTGGCAGGTCAGAGTATGTTACTTCGCCTACACTCATCTCTGATGTCATTGCATGCTTACAAGGAAATAGATATGAAAATTGACTGTACTTCAACTGATCAGTGAAAATGAGTCTTGCTTTTATGCTTGGAAAACTTTGAGCCTAAAAGAGAAAGACAGACGTTCATCAAATGATCATGCAAGGAAAATCAAATTGAGAACTGTGGCAAGCATTGTGACGAGAATCTGTGAGTACATCCAAGAACTAGTTAGGAATGCAAAGTTTCTCAGAAGTTGCAGCTCCCAGGGTTTTCCACTTGTTTTATTTTTGGTGCTTCCAGTGTGTGAATAGCAGGAATACCCCAATAGGCATTCCCACTGAGGCCAGTCAGGATGCTACTCAGAAGTCCAGGCAGACATCCTGGAGCAGGAGTAAAAGTGAATCAATAGCATAGAAAAATGCCCCTTGCCATGACAGGAAAGACTGTAGTGATAACACAACATGGATAAAACAACTGCCAATGAAGACTCACAAACCATTGTGTTAGGACTGTACAATTTTGTAGGGGTTGGGGGGTTTGTTTCATGAATATTTTCATCAAAATAGAAAATTACATGTGGAAAAAAATTACATCAAGGTGTGTGTGGAAATGGGTCATGTTTGCCCTGTGTATCTTAGAAAAATGGAGAAAGGTGGTAGAACTGATATATTTGCAATTTAGATGCATTATTAATGATGTAATTATAGTTACACTTTAGCAGTGATCCAGAGAGATTGAAGACAATTTTAAATTTTTTATTACTTTCTACCGATGGTGTTATATAAGTTACTCCTTTTTTTTTTTTTTTTTTTTTAGTTTATTTGTTTCTGTGAATAAAAAAACTAAACTCTGCCTGTTAACTAGGGAGCCGCACTAATTCAAAAAGATATTCCAGTTCTTGAAAAAGGCAGAACACTGCCATCTGTTGTTCACTGAAATTGTTTCTAGACTAAGCAAACAAAAATCTTAAGCTTAATAGCCATTCTTAAAATTTAGCAAACAGAAGACCATCCACTTTGAGTTCTTACTTATTTCAGGTTCTGAATTTTTTCCAATCATACGCTACAAACTTGTGCTGGACCAAAGATGATAGTTTCTTCCATAAACAGAAAGAAAAATACTGTTTTATTTACATAGCAATTTATACTTAAACAATCTTTCCCACCTTCATTTGCGGGAACAGTCACATGGACAGCTCAGAACCTGGACCCCTGTTTGTTTGTCAGCCCCTCATCTTCTTTCACTGTAGAACCAGAAAAAACCAGCCTGGAAATTGAAGGCAGCTATGCTTATCTTCTCAGGAATATGAGTGCTTACTCGAGTAAACGATTTAAGAAGTGTGGTCACTTCCTGAATAATAAAACAGTATTCTGTGATCACTGTTGTGTTTGAGGATGTTGAATGAAATCACTTGAAGATACTTAGAAAACATAAAAACAGGGATTGCTTGAACAGTTAGGAGCTTGTTTGCAGGTAGATGGTGGGAAAACACAGAAGGGCACAAAGCTTTGTACTACACCCCACTGGATGATGTGGAATTCTCTTTGAACATCAGAAGAGACAGAAGTTATGAATTTCAGTTACTGCTGGGGTTTGCAATGTCTCACATCTCAAATGGAGCCAACAGACAGAGATGGTGTTGGAAAGCAGTTTGATGAAGGGTCCTATATGCTTTCCTCCTACTGTACATATATATTATCTTAAGGAGCAAATCCAAATGTAAACTTATATTCCCTGCCAGAAAATTAAAATAAGCAAACATCTGCTTCCTTAGGATGGCGTTGAGCCAAGGCTCAGCCTACAATGAGTGACTGCAAAATTTTCACATGATTTCATTTTTTAAAAATTTCCCAACCAACTTCAAGTCTAAAGTTATAAATGGGTCCTATGAAAGTATAAACACATAGGCAATTTTGCTGGCTCTGAGGTCAGAGCCAGTAACACACCGAATATCGTTTATCAGCAGCAACTCATCTTCCACATGAATTTAGTACTTGAACGCCCATGATACTCCTTCCTGATGTCGCAGACAGCTTCCCAGGCCCAGCCATCGAGCCCCAGGGGTGGCAGACTACACTTTAGAGGTGCAGGAGGAGACAGCTTCCAAAAGCCCACTGGGCATCCTTTCCCAGCACTGAGGAACAAAGTTGGGTAAGAAAAGTCCCAATGACTCTTTTCTTTTATGTGTCATCCCTCACACTGTTTACTCCTCTCTTGTCCCAACTCCCTTTTCCCCCAAAGAATGTTCTTCCCATGCTCTGTTTCCCTCCCAGGGTGCCTCCCAGGATGACTAAATAGAAAGAAAAAAAAAAAAAAACACTTCCAACAATGGAGCTCAGAGGCCTGCTTTGAGAATTCCTTTCACATACTGTTATAAATCATACCAGTGCAATCACCCATGTTAACGGAAAGCAGGGCTTTTGTACAATTCCTTTCTAAGTGCCTACCATTAATCTCAGAACTATCATGAGTATCTGGGCATAGGGAGGACAGTATTTATGACTCTATTGACCTAGAATAAGAAGTGAAAGTATTTAGGTTTGGGCTTTTGTTGTTTGATTTGTTGTTATTGTTAGAGAAATCCTGTAGCTATGCTGTCTTCATTTATAAGGAAACTACTGTTTCATTAGATGCAGGAGAAAACACCTACCTGCACAGTACACATCCTCAGCCCAGGTTCCGATGCGTTCCTGACAATGGTCTTGATATGTGGTGGTCAAACAGGCACTGTGGGCTGAGCGTTGTTCTGAGGTTGTTATGTGTGGGGGTCACTTAGTCACCAAGAATGCTACTTGGTCCATAGAATAATCCAATTCTTAAGATGCTGAAAATAATTTCTAGAGAGATGAAAAGGTCCCCGCATCTCAGTAGATCTGAAATTCCAGCACAGACAGTCTGACTTCAGAGTCAGTGCCATTGAGGGCTCCATGCTCTACTGCATGAAGCAAAAATGTGATAGTACAGAGTGAATAAAACTTCCTCTCTTAAACTCCAGCTCTTTATGGCAATGCTTTCCAATGTCTCACATTCACAATTTCCAAATCAGTGTATGGACTTACACCTTTTTATCCATGCACTAATTCATAAGCTGGACTTCATTTTCATTCCTTATTCCAGGAATAGTCATGAATAGCTTTGACCTTACCATTCTTCACTATCTCATTTCAAGTGAAAGATACTGAATTTAAAGTTGTTTGAAAACCTCTCAGCAGAAATGATTGGGAGCAGTCACTGGTCTTTTAAATTTCCAAGGGGTTTAAAACAGAAAATCAAAGAAATATCACGTTTATTTCTGTACCTTTAGTTATGCATGTTAACTAATACAGATCACAAAAAAGAGAATTTGGTATAACTTTGGCAAATAATCAAGAAGTTTTCTCTTTGAGTGTATGTTCACTATATTGACTGGATCTCAAGTTGTTTCCCTGACATAGTCCACACCCATCCTTCATTGTGCATATGTGCACATGTCAGGGTTTTCACAAGGGCAGTGACTTAAACACCTGAAGCACACTGAGTTGAAAAGCAAGAATGTAAGTATTTTCTTTTTTGAAACTCACAGTTACAGCTCTCCTACTTATTTGAGCAAAAATCAGTTTTAGGGCCCCACCATTCTGAAGTCTGTCTAGGAAGTCTTTAGAACAATTGAACTTAGTTTTCAAGGAAAAGTTCCATCTTTTACTCACCTATCAGAGTTTCTAGATGTCTTATTAGCATTAAGTTACAACCACAAATAGAACTGATCTGAACAGATTTGGGACCAGACAGATGTGATAGTTGTCAAAGTGCAGTTCTATTTTGGGGAGAAGAGTGTGGAAGTTCTAGAGAATAGTATGTTCTCCAGGAAGGTGCAAGGTCCACTAGGCATTTACTCTAAGAAGAAAACAGCATCATTGATTCAGTAATAAGTTTTAAGGTAGACATTGGGTTAAGATTAGCAAGCATTGGAAACTATTTAAGTCTACTTAAATATTTTGAAATACTTAATGATGCTAAGAAATAAGTTTTGACATCATTTCTTCCTTTGGGTGTGTGTGTGTGTGTGTGTGTGTGTGTTATGTGAACATATGATTTAGAGTTAAGAAATTGAAGTAATCTGAGAAAGATCCAGCACAGTTTCTGGTTTTTCTTTATCTGAGGGTTCCAATGGATACAGTGTTGCCTACCAAAACCCTGTCATTGCTTTTGGAACCATCATAAAATTTAAAATGTATTTTTAAAAATGCCCTAATTTGAGGCATATACCATTTCAACTTAGGTGTAGTAATTGTCTCAACTCAAGTGTTAAACATTTGCACCTCTCTTTGAGCTCCATGTGGAATTACGAAGAGGGAACCTGGGACTTCTTTTCCTTCCATTACATTACATCTCCAAAACCAATAGCACATGATAATGTGCTATTATTTGCTTCAGACTATGTCCGAAGACTTGAGAATGATTACATTTCTGCCTCTGGGCATGGATGTAATCAGTGTATTTTAGTAAGTTATCAATTTCATCTTTGCATCTTAGTAATGTGTAGGAAAAAGAGCTGCAAGTTAACTACACCAGTGCTTTCTTCAACAAAATTTCTCAAGAGTTAGGTGTATTGTCTTCACCCCCTATACCAGATAATCCCACCAATCATTTTAAACAACAAATTGCTGTTGCCATTCATTTTTACAATCCCATTCTGATTTTCCCTTGGGCACCTTCATTTTCTTTTAGTGAAATGTTTGCTTCTTTCTCTGCATTTACCTTTTTCCTGTAGTTGTTCTTAACAATTTATTCTTCCAGAAATTCTCCATCTTGAATAATGTTTTGACAGCAGCCCAAACACAGTACCACAGTAAATAATCTGCATGTTAGTTAATGATACATAATTTTACTTTATATTCTGTTCATGAATTTGACTTATTGGTTAGAATTTTGCATAATTTGCAATTTATGAGAATTTAGAAACTTAGGTATCCTTCATAGAGTTCAGGTTGTTCTATCTCCTCACACACTTAGAGCTTCCTCCTTAATCATGCTAGTGTGTAATTTAAAAGTTTTAGTTTACCAGTTGCAAGAGTGAAAACAAATTGATCAATACATCTAATCTAGGGGCTATGTTTAATGTTGAGTATAAATGTATATATTGTTGTGTCTTTAATTTTTATCTGTCACTCCAAATTTGCTGAGTCTTTCATTTACTCTGAATAAAGTAACTTGGAAATAAGTTACTACAGCAAGGTCATTTTATTTGTGAAAATCTAAAGCCTATGTTAGCTAGGACATCCTGGAGCTGGTGAAGTAGATCATAAAGGAGGAAAAGGAAGATACTAAGAACACTGGGTAGTACTTTGGAAAGTGGTGAACTTGCAAAGAGAATCAGCTATTTTTGGTTTGATATATAAAAGTGCACTTTACCCCACTGTTTATCAGACTTAAATTCCAGATTTTCTATTTAAAGGTGGCTATCCAAATGTGGTTGTCATTTCAATAGTGTCTAGGGAATTATACTTGCATTTTCTTAAATGTTAAATATAAATATTTTTATTATAAGAATAGCCTGCAAAGTAGAATGTTTTATATTGCTTGGGTCTTTTTTTTTTTTTTTTTTTTTTTTTAGGATAAGATTTGTTTGGTCAACTACTCCGTAAAATGACTCAACTGTGGTTTTATGCTCAGTATACTTCATTTCTGCACTCAAAGATGATCTCAGACTGTTAGCTTAGATTTTCCTTTAAAGTAGCTTTCCTATATACTTGACCTTCAATATTTATTATCACTGAGCTTTCACCAGTTAAATGACATATTTCTGGGTGTTATTTGGTATACCTAGAAATCTAAATTTTTTTTAAAGTTAAATAGGTGTGGAAATATCCTTTTGTATGTCACTTCATTGCTTCACATTTTATATCATATAATCAAAAGCCTTATTAACCAAACCTTTTCCCCTTGAAATCGTTAATAATGACTCCCTGGACTTTGCCTTTTATTGAAATAGCTGCCTGTGCCTATCTTTCATTCTTTCAGCATTTCATATGTGGTTAGCATTTAGTGAATTGTTGGCAAATGAATCTGATTGTTCATTGTAGATTTCATGTTTTATTGAAACCTTTAGTTGTTTGAGCCAAAAAATGGTGATACTTTCTTATGTATGATGTAGCTTTCAGCTGTTCTACAATTCTGTTCTTGAATCAAAAATCCTATAAAGCACAGGCTTAACTTAATAGTATGCAGATTTTTCTCCAACAGTTAATGTGTTCACTTTGGTTTCTTAGTCAATTCCAGTATGGATAGTTTGCATCTTGTTGGTTTGAATATTGCTTTTGGTTTTGCTTAAAGACCCTTGCTTGTACTAAAGCTCTAGCTGAAGTAGCATTAAAATACATAACGTGCTTATTTTCTAACCTCTTATGTAAAAGTAACATTGACTTGTAAGGATGAGTTTTTCAGTTCTGTTCCATTTTTAAAGTTACTTTGAATTTTTTTTAATAGATTTTTTTTTCTTTAGCATGTAAGAAATTGCATCCAGGCCTCCCACATGGCAGGCGAGAATTCTACCACTAAACCACCAGTGGTGGTAGGGATGGTGTGGGAACATTCATCTAGAGGTGTGAACCCATACCCCTAAATCAGACACTATTGTAAACTGTTATCTCAGTTAAAAAAAAGAAAAGAAAAGAAAAACAAAAACAATTGAAATAAAAATTTTAAATTTAGAAAGCTAACTACCTGACAACCTTACATATGTCACTTGTTAAAAACATCCAACCTGGTCTTATGTATACTTGATTTAGAAATACGAAATATTTCTGAAAATCATAATACAGCTTTCAAATGCTTAAACAATAAAATAGGCTGGCCCGAGGGGGAATAAAGAAATAACATCCATTAATTTTTTTCAAAGACAAAATGATTTCTAAAAAAGACATAAAACTAGAAAATTATAAAAAAGACTTAGTCTCTCACCATTCATTTAAAATTATAATTCTAATTACCAATGAACATGCTTTACATTTCCTTAAGATTTGTAGGTTTTCTATAGTAGTATTTTGAGAAAGTCTCTTAATTAGTAGAGCATAAACTCTTAATTTCACTGTCAAAAAGTCTAAACAATTTTTGTCCTAAAGGAAAACAGGGTTTCACCTAAGATTTCACTTGTTTAGAGAAATAGTGACTTGTTAGTTTACTTTTATTAAAACAACATAGGTGGAAATAAATATTACTGTTTCAAGCATCCCTCCGGGCGAGTTTTTTAGAATCATAATAATTAAACATGTACTAGAAATACATGTTTCTAAAAATGTTAACCGGTTTAGTGGATTTTCTCATGAACATTTTTTTTTTTGGAAGTTGACAATGTGGGTACATATGTGAAATATGCACAATTACATGTCCTAAAACTATAGCTACTGGTACACTTAAATTTACAGTTGGTTCATAATAGATACTTTGGCTTCTGAGCAGAGAAAATCATGGCACAGGATTAAATGATGCTTTAAATATTTGCAAGTATATTTCAGAACTTAAGATGAAAAATTGGGCATTTATTTTGTCAAACATTTATTTTGTATGCTGTATCAGAGTATATGTTTTTGCAGCCTATCTGCAAATATTTTTGTGTTCTGCCTATCTGCAGATATTTTTGTGTTCTGCCTATCTGATTTTTATTTTAGCATGTTACTTTTGGTGAATAAAAATACAGTTAATAAAATTATCTTCTTTGAAGACTTGTGCTAAAAAAAATCAACTGCCGCCATTATTATTATGTTATTGCTATTATCCTAAAAAAGTAAAAGACACAACTGTTCTATATGATATCTTCATAGAAAACTTTTCCCTTGCTTATACTCATTTCAGGACATGCAGGTATTTTCCTGCATGTTGGGTTTTTTCATAATTACCATGTTCTTCTGATTAAAAAAATATATATATTCACTTTGTATGAGATACTTTCCCCTCACCATGGAACAATATTTCATAAGCATTTTTCCAGATAATCATCTCTCGATCTACCCAAATATTTTAAGCAAGTATGTACCACTATATAACACAATTATTATATAATTTTTATTCTTACCTATTTATTGCTTTATAAGCATTTGTGGTTGCTTTCTTCAGTGGTCACTATAAGAGTTCTACTCTAGTCCCTGTGTCTTTGTCCTTATGTTTGAATATATTGTATAGTTTTTCTTTACATGTCTACCTTATTTTTGCTGTACCATAAGATACAATATACATTTAAACAATAGATGACAGACTTAGCAAAATTTCCTTCTGAAAATATTGGATTATATTTACTCATTGCTCATTTCCTCCAACCATTTCTAATACTTGGTGCTCTCAGTCTTGGATTATTTTGTCATTTTGAAAAGTAAAAGTTACTTTTATTATGTGGATTTGCATTTTTAAATTTAGGGAGGCAAATAGTTGTTACATATTTGATCACTTTTATTTTATTTAAACTGTCTATTCATTCACTCTATCCAAGTTTGTTTTTTATTAAACTTTTTTAAAAGCTCTTCCTTTGGGTACTCAAGAATCTTCGTTATGGTATGTCCTCTTAGGTAGAAGTATTATGCCTTTATTTAGGCAGATCCATCAGCTACATCTTTGACAGATTATGAATTTGTATGATATTTTAATGGTCTTCATAGTTCTGAGATTACAGAAGGGTCCACTCTATTTTCTTTTAATAATCTTGTAATGTTATACATTAAAATTTTTCATCTCTCTGGAGCTTACTTTTAAGGCTGGTGTGAAAGAATGATGAAATTTCATTTTTTCCTAAATACATAGCTGCACTTACAATACCCTTTTATTGAAAAATTCTAGAATTATTACTGCTGTTATTTATATCATTACTGTTAATGAGCACTTACTTACAATTGCCAGTACACTATTAAGTGCTTTATATATATTACTCCTTTTAGTGCTTGTAATTACCTTCTGAGGTCACTACTTATTACTTTGTCCATTTTACAGGTGGAGAACTGAGCGTCTTGCCAAAGACAGTGATCTAGAAAGTGGTAGGGTCAAGGGTCAGGAGTGGGGTTGGGCAGTCTCATTCCAGAACCTATTACCCCCCACCCCACAAAGGGCTACACCAGGTAACGTTCTGTGGAGTCCTCTGCCTTGTCACGTGGCAACATTCCAATGTCACAGGTCCTCTCTGTGCCATTTTTATGCTTCATCTCTGACCTTGGCCTTGACTCCACCCAGCTCTCCCATCTTCCTCCTGGTTTCCATAGCTGACCTGGTTCTGTGTCCTTCATTTCTCCAGCAAATCTAGGGTGATAACTGTGAATCTGGCAGGGAGTGTGACCAAGTATGACAGATGTGCCCCAGCATCCAGCAGTGAAATTTCTGTATGTCCCAACCAGAACAAGAGGGACAATTTGTGAATTTGAACAAGACTGAATTGCTTTTCTTGCTCTCTCTTTCTAAATCTCACATTAAAATACACTTAGCCTTTGAACAACACAGACTTGAACTGTATAGGTTCACTTTTCAGTTATTCTAGCACAGTACTATAAATTTATTTTCCTTCTGATTTTTTTAAAATAAGTTTCCCCTGGTTTATTATAAGAATACATATGACATACAAAATATGTGTTCATCAGTAGCTTATGTTATTGGTAGGGCTTCCAGTTACCATCATTTGATAGTTTTGGGAGTCAAAAGTTTATGTGCAGATTTTGGACTGTGTGAAAACCCTACCCCTCAAGGGTCAACTATATAACTAAAATTAAAATAATGTGACCGTATTAATGTTGCTTTCAGAATAAAATTCTTTAATAATATACACTGAAAGGCTGAGTTCTTCCTAAGGAGTGATCTTTATGAAGTTTCTACCTGTTCTCTGAAAGCCCCAATTTCCTTCTTGGTGCCTTCGGCGCAAGCCTTTTCTCACTGCCTGTCCTGTTTGTTCTCAGTCGTCAGGAACCAGCATCACTGTGGACATCGCTGTGATGGGCGAAGCTCATGGCCTCATCACCGACCTCCTGGCGGACCCTTCCCTGCCCCCCACTGTGTGCACGTCCCTGAGGGCAGTGAGCAATCTGCTCAGCACCCAGCTCACCTTCCAGGCCATTCACAAGCCCAGAGCGAATCCTGTTGTGACCTTCAGCGAAAACTACACGTGTTCTGATTCAGAAGAAAGCTCTGAGAAAGACAAGCTGGCTATTCCCAAGGTGGGTATCAGCGACGTACTCCTGAGAAGGTTGAACTTTTTCTTTTAGTTTAATTTACATTGGACTGTCTTCTAGCTCTCCTTCTTTTCACCTCAGATTCATAGGCAGATTCACATCAGTTCTTTCTCTGCAGTCCAGAGTAATAAAAATGAATCATAAAACCTGTCTTGATGTTTGACAGCTTTCTGTAAATAAACAGTTTAGCTTCTTCCAGGATCTTTTTGATTTAAATGTGCAAGTTTTAACTTGTCTGTGCCACAGCCTCTCCATGGAAGAGGAGTGTAGTAGGAGAAAAACAACAGAAAAAAGTCCCTGTCCAGATGCCGCTGTGGGGGTTCAGTTGAAATGTGCTGCCTCCTGCAATGCAAGACTCCTTTGTTCTTTGATGTCTCTGTAGGATAGTCCTCATAGAAGCCATGGATTTCTCAAACCCAAAATGTTTGGATTTCAGAACAGAGTCTGATATCCTCCACCCAGTTGAGGTCTCACTCTGAGTTGAGAGCAAGTCACTTTAATGATTCTTAAATAAAACCAGAGGTGTTGGAGCCTGGCACATCCAGCAGTTCTCTCTCTAGTAAACCAGCAACCATGCCATTGCACTGGAGGTTCATCAATAACATTGGTCTCTTGCTATTGTGCTCTTCACCAAACTCTTTTAATTAGGTGTTTACATAGTTGCCTTTAAGCATTTGCTTCTCGGAGAAAGGCTTGAGTAAGCATTATATGACATAAAGGAAAAGGGAGAGACAGACTGATCCCTTTGAATCTCAAAAAAAAAAAAAAAAAAAAAAAAACATGAGATCACTGACATGTGAGGGCAATAATCCTGTTATTTACAGCATTTGACCTCTCCCCCTTAAAGTACCTGCCAAGATGCAATAGTCAGATCTTTGCATAACATCACAAACAATTTAGTACCAGAGTTTTTCTTGAGTTCCATGATATCATATACTTCCCTTCTCAAGCCTTTTTATTATCATCAGGAGAGCAGAATGCATCTTTGTAAATCATGGCTACACAATCATTCTACAAAGAATAAGTAGCCACAATAAAAATGGGTTGAGCTTCTAGCTATTATAACTATTGGTGTAGTTGTATTAGAAAAATATGTTCAGCTTAATATTTTAGGTCAAGACACTTTTTAGCATATGGGCGAGGCTCATCTTGGTGAGCCCAGGATCTTGTGTGAGTGCTGGTTAAGCCACATGTTCTGCTGGGACCTGGCAGGAAGAGAAATAGCACAGAGAAGGTTTAAGTCAATCAGCACAGTCTTCCATTAAGAAGAGTTGGTGCTGATGTAATTACCCATGTGACATCTAAGTCACCTGACCCATCTTAAGCAGAGCATTTTGTGAGTTGTACTCTTAAACGTAGCTGCTTTCATTTGTAAATCAAGAAATTAAAATTTAATCAATAAATACTTTGGTATAGAGACTCTTGTGCAAGATCTGCAAATTACACCATCTCCCAAACACTTGACTTTTGAGGAAAACTTCTGCTCATAATAACTGATCTATGTACATAGATGTGTAAATCCTATTAAACTAATATAACCATAAAATCATCCCAGAGTTAATGCTTCCTCATCCCTAAGATCCCATGTTTATATAATCATTAATAGGAAGCTCCCAAAATGTTATCTTTTTTAATATTCATTCATTTTGTTCAGAAACTTTTATTGAAATTCTGAGCACCCAAGTTTTAAATAAGTGGGATTCAACTAACATAATGCAATAAATTTACTCCCATCTGAAAACTCATTTCCTTCCAATATGTTACATAGAAATCGGTGGTTGAAAATATGCGTGATAATCAAATCAGCACTTCATCTTCCCAGCGCTTGAGAAGGAGCTTGCCCCCAGGCTTACTGAGGCGAGTTTCCTCCACTTGGACAACGACCACCTCAGCCACAGGTCTGCCTACCTTGGAGCCGGCCCCAGTGCGGAGGGACCGCAGTGCTAGCATCAAACTGCATGAGGCACCTTCATCCAGGTGAGACGAGGCTCCTATTGGTTTCACATGACTCAGAGAACTTACTTACCAAAAAATGATAAATTACTGGGGGAAGGAAGGCCCGAAGAATTACAGTTGGTTGGATGTCAGTTTTGAAAGTGAAAAAAGTGTGTGGTTTAAATGCAGAAGAGTCAGGGATTAACACTAAATAATTGAGCATAGATTGTGTTGTGTGGCCTTAACTATCAGTGGAGACAGTGCCTTGAGGTGACTTTGGATGAAAAGCATTGAGCCCCAGATAGAGGGAGGATAGATTTTTATCTAGATTGAGAGCCACATCGAGATCCTTAAATCCAAAGTATCCAACCTGACATGTGCCCATAAGATTTCACATGTTCCCCAGGTCCCCAACCAGCTATCCTTGACCACCATCCTAAGAAACCTAGGTATGTTCAGACATCGGACAATTTCAAGTTTATTGAGTGTATTAATTTCAATTTTACAGAGGGACTTCAAAGCTAAAATTATAAAAGCTAAAGAAAAGATATTATTGAGATCTGGTAGGAGTTTTTGAGAAACATTATCATGAAAAAGGTGTTTTTAGAGGGAGCTTTTTTATTTGTCCTTTGCTGTTAAGAATAAAAAACAACACACTTTATATGCATGTAATTACCCTGCCAACACTTACCACCAATTATAGGTTTTTGAGACATTTGTGTTTGTTTTATGAGGGACCTAATGACTGAAAAATAACCACATCTTTGTTGGCCTCCAGGACAGGACTATTAGAAATCATTTTCTTTGGAAGTTGGCTTTGAATATAAATAAAGCACCTTTCTGAGATTGGCAGAGAAACAGAAATCTTTCAAATCATAGAAATTTAATGACTGCTGACTTTTGTTGTTTTCTTTATTAAGCATAGGTTTGCTTGCTTTCTTCCATATTAACATTTCTAGTGTAATAAAACTATAGAATTGGAAGCAAACTGCAATGATTCTTTTCTATATCAGTGTAAACCCACCTCCAGCTAAATTACCTGAACTTTGGTAAAAATTTAAATGCTATCACAGGAGATGTTAAGCAGTGTTCTTTATGAACATTTCCTAAAGCTTGAAATTCCTTAATTTCCTCTGAAAACATTGGCAATTGTCAGCAGCAGATACTGATAAGTGGTTATGAATAGTATGATAGCTAAATGTTGCTTAATGAATTATGCTCAGGGTGAATATCACTTAGAAAGGAGACCACACCTGACCAGGATTCCTGCTGTTGTCTAGTTAATGTTCCATATAGAAGGTCTACCAAAAATCCACCCATGCTTTCTTAAATGTCTTCTCTCTGTGTGTCATTGTTCTTCTGGTCAAATCTCACTTTTTCCTACTATATTCTTCTCTGAGTTAAATGAGATCAAGGGCTAATGTTAAAATCATGAGGAAGAAGATATAATTGTGAATTTAACTTCCAAGGAGACTGTCATTCTTTTTGTGAATTAAATAAGCAAAATAAAATACTTTCAAAATAGATAAAGAATAGCATATTCCTTTTTCCTTCTCTTTTTTCTTAGAAATATTCATGGCTATCTTGCCTAAAGAGACTTTTTTCCAGCCTTTTTATTCTTTGATTTAACTGTCCTATGAAAATCCTGCTGTAAAATCTGAGAATCAGAAAACTTTTTCACCATTGTGAAAACATGAAATTCATCTGAAGAGAATTCACACCCTTTTATAGAAAACCATATTATATTCGAGTGGCAAATGCACCACCACTAGCAGTGTTGGCTCATTCTTTGTCGTAGGTGCAAACAGGGAGAAGACAGCCTGAGATAATCACCAGTCCTGAAGTTAAATCCTACATACCAAAGTTAAAATCTTCTGCCCATAGGAGAGCTGGTGCTAAAACTGCTGATTGATTTCCAAATTGAATTGAGTTTTATCCTTATGTCTCTTCCTTACCATCTGTCCTTGCACTGAGGCTCTTTGAGGACTGTAGTGGTAGGAAGAAAAGTAGAAATGGTTATGAAAATTAGGAAGAGTCAGCTGGAGGGAGAGCATGGGATGATTTACTCATGGCTCATTCTGCATGCAGCCTGGTGGCAGGGATACGACCCAGAGGGACTGGGCATGGCACCTCAACTCTGTGTCCTCAGAAGCAAGTGCAAGGGAAATTAGGTGAAAGAATTAAAAGGATCTTTTATTTTATTTATTTTTAATTTTTCTTTATTTTTGCCAAGAACTGGGGTGCAGGCCAGAGGTGTGAGAGGATTCACCAGAGACAGAGTGGGGAGCGGAACAGAGAGAGAGTGGGGAATAGAACAGGCAGATCTACTGAAATACATTGCTGAGGGGAGCGGCAGGGGAGACAGGAGTGGCCTGTTGTGCTATGTGGGCAGCTCCCTGGCCGGGATTGAACTCAGGTCATAGGGGTGATAGCACTGAGACTTTACTCCCTATGCCACCAGGGAGGTGCAAAAGGAACTTTCAAAAAAGGCTTTCAAAAGTCTGAAATAAGTCATACCCTGATCATTCCAAGTCAGCCTTGGACCTGAACTCTTCTTCTGTATACTAGGCAGAAAGAAGGATGTAAACTCGGTTAGGGAAACTCTTGGGACCTGGTACAACTTGGGAGCCAGGTTGAAATTGTCATGTGTAGAACTAAGGTCATAGAATCCACTTTGGTGGAGGAGGGCTGAGCTCCACAGCAGGTGCAGATCTTGCCCCTGCTATGGCAGCAGGAGAACAGGGAAAACTTTCCCCTTGCTGTTTTTCTCCCCAGAATCCAAATTATTACATATGTGTGAGATCTGAGCAAGAATCAAAAGAGTGCGAGTCAAAGCAAAGACTCCTGGCAGGATCACACAAAACACACTATGTGGACATGCCTGTAAATTAAAATAGGTATTTGTAGTCACACAAACACAAACATGCACACACAGACAAGTATATTGACTTATTGTTTTATTGATATATTTCAATAAATTAATATTATATTAAGAATGGAATATACAGCTAGAATTTTATTTATGTTGAAGATCATTAATTCTCCATATATTAAAAATTCTCATTGGATTTTAATAAAAACATGAGCATGTATTAAATGTCTTTATTAAAATTAGTAGTATTGGGCAGCTTTTGAACTAGCCTTTATAGTGTAACTTTTTGAGATATTGAGAATTAAATCCAATAACATTAAAGTCTTTTAAAAATCTTCATATAAAACTAATAACTAATTCATTGTATTTGATGTACTGAGAAATTAAAATTCCTCTGTCTCATATACATCACATGATATTTCTTTACAATAAATCTTACAAACCAGCAAAAGGAGTTGAAAGAGAATAGTGTTATAAGGAAATAATAGTGTGATTATCAGTCTGATTTTTCCAAGTTTTCTTTGTTTTTATTGTTTCAAAATTCCAGGCATTTGTGAAATACCTAGAATGAGATTTCTAAGAAAAATATGAGGAATGCTTTCCTTCTTTGTGTTTGATAAATGCTGCTATTCATTGCACCTTTCAAATGTCTAATTTATAATCTGTTTGGTAAACTATTAGGAGGAAGCAGAAAAAAACAAATTAATATTTTTATTAACCTTGAGGTTACATTTTCTTCCTCCATATGTGCACTAGCTTCCCTCATCCTCCATCAAACCACCCATGCCAATGCCATACTCCATTCCTTCCCCTATCTCCTCTCTCCCCACTGCCAGTCTCTCAGAAAAGATGAATTTTTAAAGACCTGAGTCAACAGTTAAGGAAAAAAATCTCTCTGAAATGGAAAAAAATAGAAGAAATCAGGTACCAGAAGTGTCAAACTGGACATCACACTCACTACAGCTACCCAGTGCTCACTTTATTGATAACCAAGGGATCCAGCAATAGCCCAGCACATGTTCAGAATTCTTCCCTTTGAGAGGTCTGAAACTCTAAATGCAGCACCCTAAAAGTCCTTTCATTTCACAGTAGCATATGCTGTGGTTTGGATGTAAGAAGTGAGATTCTAAGCAATGCATGCATAATGTTGCTTGCATAGAAGAAGCCATTTTGGGTATGGAATACCTCCAAATTGTACCTCATTAATTATACAGCTTACATGACAATCTCCACCATTCCTGGCCCCATAATTCCATCAATTTCAGGTTTATTTACAATAAGCTTCCCAGACGGACCAGGTATGTCCTGCTTACAGTGCCAAGTGAAGATTGGCAAAGCATTGGGCTGTCAAATTATATTCATGCAAATTACAGCTCTTACCCAGTACCAAATTTACTAATGCTTGAAAGCACACAGGTGGTAGCAAAACATGGACCAAGCATTTTTCCCTTGGAGCAGTCCAAGACTGTCAACATAGCTTCGTAAATTCTTTTCTCTTAAATGAGGACAGATTCTGCTTCAGATTTAACTAGTAAGGTTTTGAGCATTGCATGCAGAGAAATTTTAGTTTGGAACACCTTCAAAATTTATATCCCATTAGGGCTTCCCCAGTGGTGCAGTGGTTGAGCACTGGGTTGCGAAGCTGCCCGCAGCCATGCAGTGCTGGTTCGATCCCCGGCTGCTCCCCTGCCACCGGAGGAGGGTCCCACATGGCGCGCAGACCTCTCCTGCCACCCGCTGCTCCCCTCAGCAGTGTACTTCGGTCCTTCTGCCTGCTCTGCTCCCCGCTCTGGCTCTAGTGAATTTTCTCGCCCTCCCGCGCTTCTGACTGTACCCAGTGCTTGTATAAATAAATAAATATATCTTAAAAAAAATTATATCCCATTAATTGCATGACTCTGTAACATTCTCCATCCCAAACCTCCATAGATCTATTGATTCCAGATTTATTTGTAATAAGCAACCTAGACGAACAAGTACGTCCTGCTAAAATCATTCTGTAGGTGAAGACAGTCCATTACCTTTCACCTAGAAACAGCATCCATTAATGGCAAGTTCATCATTAGCTTGTTCACAATGAGATTTGGTTCACTATCCCCTTTCTTTGCAGGGAATCACCAGTAAAAGAAATGATAGTATAATGCAATCTTTTCCTCCACAAAGTATATTATTTTTGCATGACTTTATAAGCACTATTTTTGAGTATAGAGACATCAAGGATAATAAGTAATAAAGAGCATAGAAAAAGCACTTTAATATTCATAACTAATATAAGTGCACCTGCATTTTTACCAGGAAATTTGCCAAGGTTTTGGAAAATCTGGGAGGAACATGATTATAGAAGTAGAATGAGTTCATGTTAGATTCCTATGATTTGGATAAGTAGAAAAGTTACCTTCTTTTGTTAGCCCAGTGTGATTGATGAGTGACTTCTTTCTCCCCACAGCCAAGGAGACTGAGCTCAGATAGCCTGTTTTGTGATTTGGAAGGAAAGGGCTTCTGTCCCAGAGCCTGAATCATTACTCAGGGAGGCAAGACTATTTTGGAAATGATGGTGTGATTCTGGCAAGATCTGCCCAATAATGGGTGAACATTTCCTTCACTTTTCTTCCTGGTCTGTCTTTCTAGTGCTGTCAGTCCAGATACTTGGAGTAACCCAGCGATGATGACCCTAACCAAAAGCAGATCCTTCACTTCATCCTATGCCATTTCAGCGACTAACCACATAAAGGCTAAAAAACAAAATCGTCCGGGTAAGTGACTTTGAAGGAGAAGAGCTTGCACTCACTGAGATTGAGTCTTGGCGTGAAAATCAAGCCCTTAGCATTCTGGTGTTATTCTGAAGGTGCCCTGTTCTCAGATATGATTGGTTTGACTGGTTTTTTTTTTAAGATTTTTTATTTATGCATACAAGAACTGGGGTATAGGCCAGCGGTGTGGGGGTGAGAGATTTACCAGAGACAGAGTGGGGAACAGAACTGGCAGACTGACTGAAATACACTGCTGAGGTGAACAGCAGGTGAGTCAGGAGAGGTCTGCTATGCCAAGTGGGTCACCTCCCTGGCTGGCCGGGGATCGAACTCATGCTGCAGTGGCTGGTGATAGCTTCATAGTGCTGAGACTTAACCCCTTGTGCCACCAGGGAGGCCCAGATTGGTTTGACTGTTTTAAAAAGGAAAGGTCTATATAACCAATATGTTGATTCAGTTGTCACTTTATATGATGATCCAGGTTCTTTCAAGTCACCATTTCCCTCTCTGGAACTTACTGGATGAACAGGAAATGAGTGTTGCTGTTGAGGTGACTGTGTGGCAGCATCATCTTATAAAAACCAAGGAAACGTCAAAGTTATTTTTAGTACCTGTTAAAAGAAAATTAATTTTCAGGAGTGTGGTTTTTAAATGAGTTCAAGAAAATGTCTCACTTACTATGCATTTTACAGTTTTTTCAAAGAAATCTTTAGGTCCCTTTCTCCCTCCCAAATATATACATGCTGAAAGAGGTATTTATAGTTGGGAAAATACAATTCAGGACCTTTGAGAGCCTTTGAAAAAGACCTCAGGTCAGCAAGCAGAAGACCCAGTGGCTCTGACTGTCATTTGTGAACAAAGGAGCAAAATGAAGTTTCAATTTCTCCCACCAAGAATCTGGTATCCAGCTGCAGTGTGGGTTTTTCCAGGAGATGGCAGGGCACCCATGGGCGCCAAAGCAGCAGCATCTCCCTTCCCTCATGCTCTGTGAACTCAACAAGTATTTATAGAGTGTTCTCTGCTTCTGACACTGGGCTGGTTTAGGAACATGGCATTGACTAAGCCAGACCCAGCTCCTCCTCAGAGATTCTCACTTATAATCCAGTTGACAATTTGAACAGGTGGGCGACACACTCTATAAGCGTGGTAAAAGCTTTGATAAGGAAGTGAGGGAAGATTTTCAAATAATGAAAGAGAGATCCAAGATCCAGCACATTGAGAGAAAGTGTGAGGAACTTAAGGTCGTGAATGGCTGGTGGAGCGAGTGAGTGGAGAGGGAGATGGAAGCAGAGCGACAGGCAGGGCGAAGCAGGACCCGGAGCTCTGGTGAGGCGTGTAGCTAGTGAAATTTCCAGCTGTGAGGTCATCGTCCCTCAGATCATTTCATGTTCCTACCTGAAACATAGGAACGTGAAATGATTTGGGGGACGATGCCCTCATTTAGGTTCTGTGCTGGAATCCAGTTTTTGTTAGATTCTGTGTTCAGATTAGCCTTCTGCTAGAGTCCAGTGGAGAGTTCACTACGAAGGTTCCTGCTGAGTTTCTTATTCTTCTGCCTAAGGAGCAGCTAAGGAATTCCAAATGTGGCTCAAGGGGAAATGTGCCCTGTCTCATGGGGCACCTTTTTTTTTTTTTTTTAAGATTTATTTATTTATTTAAGCACTGGGTAGAGTCAGAACCGCGGGAGGGTGAGAAATTTCACCAGAGCCAGAGCGGGGAGCAGAGCAGGCAGAAGGACCGAGGTACACTGCTGAGGGGAGCAGCAGGCGGCAGGAGAGGTCTGCACGCTATATGGGACCCTCCTCCGGTGGCCGGGGAGCAGCCGGGGATCGAACCGGCGCCGCAGAGGCCGCGGGCAGCTTCGCAACCCAGCGCTCAACCGCTGCGCCACCGGGGAGGCCCGCATTTTTAAACTCAGTGTTTCTATTTCTTCTCAGAGAAGCATGAGAAGTGTGGATTTACTACAAGCCACTGCATCATAGAAGCAGAAGTCAAAATGGTGATGTTCCTGCGAGGGTTACAAAAACAATAGTCATATTCAACTAATAATCCAAGAGCCCATCTTTAAAAAAAAATGAACTTTTAATTTTTTAGAGACTTCAGCATTTCTGATGTTGTCTCTGATGTCTAAAAAAGACAACTGAGGATTTTTTTTTCCCCTTTGCTCACCCACTTTGGCAACTATTCCTTGAACCCATTTTAGCACCAACTTAAAAAATACTTAAATCTCTACTGTTCACTCTTCCTTCAGAAAGTATGCTTTTATTGGAATTGCATCTATGAAAGAAGCCATAAAGGTAATCTGATTTTCTTAAAAATGAATCAAATTGGATCCTCTTCGCTCATTAGAATGTTCATTAAATTGTATAACTTAGAAGTCATTCACACCTGAGAAACAGAATGGAGCTTTTGTCTGAGTCAAGCAAAAAATTTACTTCCTTGTGATTGCCTTTATGGAAAATGCAGATTAGCTCAATAGTGCTGGGATTCTTCTGGAGCCCCCGCTAGGTAGAGGAGCTGAGTTTGAGCATTCCACATTAAACCTGAGACTTTAAAATGAGCATTAAAGTGGTCCCAGATTGGTAGGATCCCATGGCTGCCTACAAAAATATGGGCAGATGATTTTTGGTGGAAAGCGTTATTACCAGTTAAGGGCCGTGCAACTTGAATACGTCAAGTTCAAATTGAAGCTTGGAAGCACTACAAAGGTACAAGAAACACATGAGTTAGAGAAAACAGGAGAAAAATGCCTTTCCCATCTCTAACAGGATTGAGATATTTAAAGGCTAAAATATTTAAATATTTCTTTTAAATATTTAAAGGAAAACAGAGGGCCATAAAACATAATAGCAATGAAAAAAGGCATCATTGCAGAGCATATAAATAAATGACTTTTGGAAATGCAGTCAAGGAATGTGATAAATTAAGTGGCATAAGAGATGATGGGAGGGAGAGTAGGAAAGTGAAGGGGGAATGTGTATAGAAATGTCCAGAATGCAGTAGATGAGAAATTGGGAGAGATTTTCAGAGATAGAGGAAAAGGAATTAGAATGTCTGATATGCATAATCAGAGTTTTAGTGGAGGTTAGGGAATTTTAAACTTTTTGAGGAAAAACAGTCAAGGAACATTCTCATGTGTTACAAAACAGTGAAACTATACAACACCAAAGGAAAAATATATTAAAGTCAACCAGGGAAAAAGATGCATTTCCTTTTCTGGAAAGGTAGTCCATCTGAATGTACAACTGTCAAAAATGGGTATTGGAACACAGCTGAATATTTTCTTCAAAGTTCTCAACCCAGAATTGTATGCCCAGCAAATCTGTCTCATAAATAGCAGGCATCAACTAAAGATATTTTCAGTTAATTAGAACTTTGCCACCTACCAAATCTTAACTAAAAGAATTTTTGATGGCGTGTTCTGAAAAGAAGAATGGTATTATCAAAGGGAAATTCAGAGAGTTATTAAAAAATGTTGGAAAGTCAATTGTAAATCATGAGTCAACCTAAGTAAACATAATCCATAAACCCATAAACAATGATATTTCCAGATTTGTGGGTATTCTTTGAGAGATTTTTTTTCATAGTTTTTTTTTTTTTTTTAAGATTTATTTATTTATTTATACAAGCACTGGGTACAGTCAGAAGCCCGGGAGGGTGAGAGAATTCACCAGAGCCAGAACAGGCAGACTGACGAAATACACTGCTGAGGGGAGCAGTGGGTGGCAGGAGAAGTCTGCACGTCATGTGGGACCCTCACCCAGCGGCCGGGGATCGGAACCAGCACTGCAGAGGCTGCGGGCCGCTTCTCAACCCAGCGCTCAACCACTGCGCCACTGGGGAGGCCTACTTTGAGAGATTTTTTAAAGGCAAAATTAAAATATTAGACAATAATAATATGTAACTCAAAGGATGAAGTGTGAATTTCAGTGTTCATTATTATGTAGCCCAGGAATGGGATTCAGACAAAGAAACTAAGACACAAAAATATTAAGTATTTTGCCCAAGATCACACAATTTTCCTGAACCCTTTCTTTTGTTTTGGTGGCTTCATACTAGAAAACAACTGGAGGACAACAAAGGAGATCATTCAAAATTGGGATGTTCTTGTTTCTATCCTTGGCTGAGTACAAGATAATGGAAGGATTTCATTTGTTTGCCTCTCAGTTGTTTCATGTAGGTGATAAAATGAAAATTATTAAAATAACCAACCTGCTAGAAAGTCATAAGCTGAGAAGTGTGGTGAGTGCATTCACTGGGAAAAACATAGCAAGTGAGCCAACTCCATGAGCACCACCCTCTTCAGTGTCCAGTACCACAGTTCTGAGGCTTGTACTTGAGAAGAAAGGGCAACTCGTGAAACAAAGAGTGAGCGGGAAAGACACCACACAGGCAGATGGTAGAAGAAATGCAGGCAAGAGCCTCTCTCCCTGCCATGAAGTACTGAAGGCATGTCCATCACGTAACATGGACGGTGTCTTGCGCTGTGACATCTTTAGACAGCTGTCACAGCAGAGCCAAATGTCTATAAGATAACCTGTGTCCAAGGCATGCTGAACTAAACTATGCACATCCCCCAAAAGGAGGAAAACATACAAGAATCCTGGAACTGAAGTTCACTGACAGTTTTGTGTGGCCCCTTTGAGATGGACGTAGGTACACAGGTGGCTGCGCTGTGTAGTGTGTGATGCTGGATGGAGCCGACTGAGCTGCCACAGTGGGGAAGGGGCTGCGGAAAAGCCCCTTTACATGGCAAAGAATGTAGGGACACAGAATCATAGTGTGAGGAGGGTCTGAGGAAGAAATTAAGAAAAAAAATAGGCAAGAGAGGTAGGGAGAGTGCAAGCATCAAGAGGAAACTCCAGACACTGAAAGAGAAATGTCCTGTTTCCAGAGGGGACAAATGAAGCCTGTTCTTTGCACAAATCAAATAAACAGTATGTTCTGTGGCTCAGGCAATCAGCATTAATCTCCATCATTGAAACACAGCCAATTACTATGCA